ATACTGTAGTAAGCAGAGGAAAAAAAAAAAAGGTGTAAAAAACCACATACTTCTCCATTTTTCAACTGTGACTATGTGTTTCTTTCTTCCTAACCTAAACTCTGCCTACTGCTGATGTCTGAAATGAGACTCGAAGGAACATTCCTGTGTAATCCAGCCTCCTTCTTCCTTTTGAAGAAACACACCCATTTACAACCACAGCTGCATGGTATGACACATAAGTCTTGCATTGGTTGTCAGTATCTGCAGCCTTCACCTTCTCTCAGGTGTCATCACGAGACCTTTAGTATTGTCTTCAGCTGCTCCCCTTCCAAATTATATTCATTACCTTTATGTTCCATTCAATAATTGAAGTCTATGAAAGTGTACCTAAACAAACTAAGAACTGTCTCTAACCAAACCTTGCAGATTTGTGAGTTAAATCATCCAAGAAAAACAGAGAGTGGGAATGAGTGTAGGCCACGAAGTTGCAAAGATTTATGTATGCACTAAAGCTCTGTGAATGGTCCTGTTGACTTCAGAGGGATTACTTATAGTCTGTGAAGTTAAGCAATCTGCGTAAGTGATTGCAAAATTGAAACCTTAGATAGACTGTAATTGGATTTTGAAAAAGGCTCAGAAATTGAATACACAGATATAAATCACATGTCTTCGAAGAGTTATAAATCACAAAAAAAGAATGTTTAAAAAATAGCTATTTTTCTTAGTAGCTTAGCTGATGTGGACTAATGAATAGAATAAGATTAATTTTAAGGTATCACAGATCATTAAATGTAAAGTCCCTGAAGCATGTCGTATAAGTCAAAAGATACAAATCTTTGAAAGCACCTTTTTATTTACTTTCTTGTTACAACTCCAGCTATGATAACTGAATTACTGGCATGACACAGCAAAAGGAAGTTTATCAAATATTAAAGCCAGGTGAAGATCAAAGATATATCCTACATATATGCCTAATAATTGGAATAGAATCAGGATAAAATGAGTGCGTTCGTTACCAGCCATATCATGCCGGATATTTGGGGAGGATGCGTACTTTGTTTTAATTAGCTGTCTCTTTCACTGGGTTCCTTGGTCAAAGCCTCCTGATAAGGAAAAAAAATTGTAGCCATTGGTCAAAATGCTTGTAACAAATCTTGTTTTAAATTGAAGCTATTTATTCAGAAACCAATCTACTACTGCAGCAGCAATCAATGTGTTTTCCCTTGGAGTAGAACTGTTCCTGTGCTACTGGAGGACTGTTGTTAATTGCCTGTAACTAAATGATTGCTGTGCTTCTGGATGTAACTCCCTGGCACGCGCTCATTTGTTGTGTTTAACAGAATGCCTGTCCCCCTAAGGGTTAGCCAAGTAATTTTCCTCTACTGTTTTCTACATTCAGCCTCAGCTCCTTAAGGAGGGCCAGGTCTGTAATTTGAGCGACATAACACAGAGGCTAAATAGATTTTAAAAGGTTTGCACTTTTTGTCTCTCCCCTCTGATGTGGAATTGTGCTGAAATTGGGTCTTTTTAGTGTGGAGCCAATACCA